AAATACATAAAATATTAGCGCATTTCAATCTTCCATTTTCCTTAGTTTTAGTATTGATGTTCTGATCCCCAATATTTTCTTTGTTTTCTAGTCCATGTATGCGATCGGCATGATTGTAAGAATGAAAATTGTGAATCAGATACGACCAGAACACGTGGTTACAAATGTAACTGTTTGGAAGGTTATGGAGGGGAGAATTGTGAAGGTAATTTATATCAATGTGTTTATCATTTTATGTACAGCAGAATCGCCCTCATGCCGCAGTGACAAATGCAGTTGTTTTTGAGTCGCAGAGTATGAAGTCGATACTAACGTTATTTCATAAATATTCATGAGATGTGTCACTTGTGTTTTGACGTACTGAAGAAATGCCTGATAGGACTCAAAGTGCAATGCTATTAAAATTGCGTGTTTTTTGTAAGAAATACAGGGATTTAACAAATGTTAGCAAATTACTGGTCATCGATGGATTGAATTGTGCATCAGGATATCGAACTGCAGTTAACGGTAATTCGCTTTTACAACAACTTGCCTAAACTCAGCGCTGAAAATCGTCATTTTTCGACAATAGAGTTGATTTACCCGAACTTTCATTTCTTAAACTTTCCTGTTCTTTGTAAAGCAAAAATTTCATGAACTAAACCAAAGTGTAAGATATCGGCGCGATTCTACAGGCTGATTCATGTAAGTTTTTGGTCACAAAGGGCACTCATAGTGCTTTTTGTAAGCAAAAATTACATAAATTAGCCATAAGTCAGAAAGATTACAGAGTGGATTTATAAAACAACCCCAATTTTAAAATCTATATAACCTAACCCAAATCACTCGATTGGATGCGTGTTGAAGCGAGTGGGAAATTGCGGTTTGTTTACATTCTGCATAGCAACGGCAAGGGAAATAACTGCTCATGCGCAATCGAGTGATTCTGGGGACCGGCATCTGAAACTTCCCAAACTATTTTTTTCAAAAACCTCTGGTCCAGCAAAGATGAAACTCTTGTGGAATCCTCTTCAGGTCGTGTAGATTGAAATGTGTTCATATTCTGACCTCCGGAGTAAGTATTGGGCCACAGTCGGGTATCAAGGTTTAACATAAGAGTACATAAAAAAAACCCCAATAATCTTCTTTTCAAGATTCACTAAGACCAGAGCACGTGGTTACAAATGTAGTTGTATGGAAGGTTACAAAGGGAAGAATTGTGAAGGTAATTCATATAAAAATGTTTATTATTTTTGTCACGACACCCTAAGCTTGATCAGTGATAACAAGACTATTTTTCTATTTACAATTTTATATATAATATAAAAACAAAAATGTACAAATATACAAAATGAAAATTAAAGAATTTCAAAATGTCTATCAGTGTCCATCCTGAGACCACGTTCCTATATCCGTCCCCGCCTCCTGTGTTTAACGGTCCATGACCTACGGGTACCACGCCCTTACACCAAATGCCACCACGTCCTCGACGTCCCGCGCCTATCCCACGCGTCTTAAACGTCTGCAATGCTGCCAAATCCGGGAAACCACGTTTCCTTCTCGACGGTCTCGGCCCAGCGTACCACGCCCTTAGGTTGCCTCCGCCGACAGCACCAAATCATACTAACGTACATGTATCAATAGGGACCTTCAACAAATATGCGTAGACATAATAAGCTTGACCTCGAACGGCTACCTTACAACATAACATAAATGTTTACACATATACTTGTTTAAACATACAGTTTTAACTAACATGTATCACACCGCCTCGCAAAGCAAAATAATAATACAATGTAACGTTACACTTTGAGTAATAAACTAATATCATTACTTTACGCTTAAACTCACGGCATGTGCACGTGGTAAAATTCCCGTATACAATTCAAACACTTTCTCGTGGATAAAAATAGAATAAGCTCAATTAACATAATACTGCATTACTTTTTAATATAATAAATGTAAGTAAATTACACTTACCCTGATTGGAGATTCAGTTACCACGAAAAACTACCTAACCCTCCATGGACATGTGAAACTACTTTCACTGGTCAAGGAAAACGTGCGCTACCCAAGACAAACCTGACATCACCTTATATAGCGACTGGCCAAATATTTAAATCACCTGAGCGTTACAATGGGGCTCCTTGCAGGATAAACACTAAATACAAATAAGGCTCAACACAGGGCAATACTAATAAAAGAAAAACAAATAAACATGTAACAAAATCAACTTTGATTGTGACATCACCTCCCCAATTCAAGAAAGTTCACTGAACTTGTGCAAAACTCACAATCAACAACAACAAAAACATTTGTACAAAACTATAATGTTCATAATGTCTCACTCAAATCCTACAACCTACTTAGACAATCAGCTCCAACTATCTAGATAACTTCCTAAACGAACTGCTAATTGTGTAAAGGTTTCACCTACCTCTGGTCTACACCTACGGAAATATTCTCGAAAACCGTCCTCTGTTTTCTCAAACCTCCTCAGCAAAGCTGTTTTAAGGGCTGCATAATCCAGAGCCTTTTCTTGTGGAAGTAGGGCATAGACATCAAGAGCTCGTCCTTTAAGTAATGCGCTTAAGTTCACGGCCCCTATTCCTTCGTTCCACTTCTGTGCTATAGCGTATCTTTCGAATCGTCTAAGAAAAGAGTCTATGTCATCTTTAACCTCATCAAAGTATGGCATTTTAGGAACCTTTGCTAATGAACCATCAGATATGTCTGACTTAGCAGCTTTCTAGATTCTGTCTCTTTCAAACTCAACTGGTATTTAAGTTCTTGTACATTAGCTTGGTACTTACTTTCCAGTGCATCTAGTGATTTCTTTTTCTTCTAGTCGGAGCTTCTCTACTTCCAACGCTTCTCTCTTCAATTCATAGTCTCTGTCCTTTTTTGTCTCTCTCTTTGCTCAACTCTGAGTCTCGCAGATGTGCCTGTTGTTCACGGATGAACCTCTGAAGATCTGCTCCCGTCAACTCCAAACTTTGACCATATGCAGTCAGCTCTTTTAACAAATCCATCTCAAAAATCGCCAGTAAATAAACCAACTATCAAACAACATAAACTGACACAAAAATGACAAAGCAAAATATCACTCCAGGAAAACTGAACTAAATCAAAATCAAACCTTCATAATACAAACTAATTCATGGTACAAATGTCCTCCTAGAACCCAAGTTTCCATCCTACGTCTCTACAACAATACAATAAAAAAAAATATTATAACTTACCCTAAACTTGATCAGTGATAACAAAACTATTTTCTATTTACAATTTTATATAAAAACAAATATGTACAAATATACAAAATGAAATTAATGAATTTCAAAATGTCTATCAGTGTCCATCCTGAGACCACGTTCCTATATCCGTCCCCGCCTCCTGTGTTTAACGGTCCATGACCTACGGGTACCACGCCCTTACACCAAATGCCACCACGTCCTCGACGTCCCGCGCCTATCCCACGCGCCTTAAGCGTCTGCAATGCTGCCAAATCCGGGAAACCACGTTTCCTCTCTCACGGTCTCGGCCCAGCGTACCACGCCCTTAGGTTGCCTCCACCGACAGCACCAAATCATACTAACGTACATTTATCAATAGGGACCTTCAACAATTATGCGTAGACATAATAAGCTTGACCCCGAACGGGCTGCCTTACAACATAACATAAATGTTTACACATATACTTGTTTAAACATACAGTTTTAACTAACATGTATCACACCGCTTCGCAAAGCAAAATAATAATACAATGTAACGTTACACTTTGAGTAATAAACTAATATCATTACTTTACGCTTAAACTCACGGCATGTGCACGTGGTAAAATTCCCGTATACAATTCAAACACTTTCTCGTGGATAAAAATAGAATAAGCTCAATTAACATAATACTGCATTACTTTTTAATATAATAAATGTAAGTAAATTACACTTACCCTGATTGGAGATTCAGTTACCACGAAAAACTACCTAACCCTCCATGGACATGTGAAACTACTTTCACTGGTCAAGGAAAACGTGCGCTACCCAAGACAAACCTGACATCACCTTATATAGCGACTGGCCAAATATTTAAATCACCTGAGCGTCACAATGGGGCTCCTTGCAGGATAAACACTAAATACAAATAAGGCTCAACACAGGGCAATACTAATAAAAGAAAAACAAATATACATGTAACAAAATCAACTTTGATTGTGACACCATAAAATTCTTCATCTAAAGATTCACCGGGCCAGTTAAGATGAAACCTGTTTAGAAGCATCCTTTGGTAACGACGATTTAAGTTGACCCCCTGGGGGTAGGGTGAGGCCAAAGTAGGTATCAAAGCTTAACAAAGGAATATATGGGGAAAAACCTTTTAATACAAGTACATAAACAACCCTAATGTAGTCTTAAATTGTTCCAAATATCTGTTGGAATTTTGCGCTTCATTTTGCTACTTTTTAGCCGACATGTTACCCGTACACTCCTAAATTCATTTTTAAAAATCTAAAGATGAGAATAAATTCTTGCTGTGTCCTTTAATCTCGATTTTAGACATCCATTTGTAAATATTCTTGTATTAAAACGTTTGTATCAATGAAAAATATTTACTATCACTTTCTGTCATATTACAAAATTTCGTGGGGGGGGGGTAATTTTTGTGGTTTTCGAGGTATGAAGAGACCCAAGAAATCATGTCTACAACGAATTTCAACGTTTCATGTATATTTCTTCTGAACAATTCTTCAACAACGAAATCAAGTCCCCAGGAAACAATAAATTTTCCTCAAAACACAAAAATTTGACACCTCAAAAATATGTGATTTTACAGTAAAAGTTAACTCGATATATCCCAATGATGTAACAATTATTTCATACTCAGATTTTTTTACTGACTATAAATACATATAATATGTTTGCATCACAATGGAAATGTCTTTTTTTATTTCTGTATAAATATTTCTAATGTCCTCCATTTTTTTGTTTTCATAGTCAATGTATGCGATCATCATGATTGTCAGAATGGAACTTGTGGGGCAGATAAGACCAGTGCACGTGGTTACAGATGTAACTGTGTTGAAAGTTATGGAGGGGAGAATTGTGAAGGTAATTTATGTAAAAAGTGTTTATCATTTTTATTATGCTTCTGTGAATTTGTTCTATATCAAAATATGACGAATATACATGCTATTTTTTTCAAATAGTCCCTACCGTGGAATAGTTTTCTGTGCTATCTTCTCATGGTGAAATACTCATCAAACAATTCACCGGCAGCATTCTGTTTCCCTCGCTTTTCAGCCTTCTGATTTAATACGGATTGTGACGTATATAGTATGACGTAACGAAAGTAAAATCAGCCTCGGTATAATAAAGAATTGATTTACTGACTATTCGGACAATAGCAAGTGTATCGTCTCCCTCGACGGCAAGCTAATTTCCTCGGCTGCGCCCCTGGTAATAGTTTGCTGTCTTAGGGGACGACAAATTTGCTATTCTCTTCATAAGCCAGTTAAAAGTTGTATAATATGCAGCAGAAATGGACCATATGCCACAGTGATAAGTGCAGTTGTTCTTGAGTCGCAGATTATACAGTGATACTTACGTCCTTTATACAAACACCACTGAGGGAAATGGAGGCCGATTCTTTTATCGATTTTAATGTAAGCTGACCTGAACTGAAGGTTCATGCGAGATTTTTTGATCAAAATTGGCTGTCTTTAAGGATATTTTTTCTTTTGTATACCATATAAGCTCTATATAAGTGATGTTAAAGAGGTTATGCAATACCTTTTTTTTTATTTTTACCCAACTGTTATTCATAATTGATTAAATGAATGAAAATCAGAGCTATGGATATAAAAATTAATCAGAAAAAAAAAAGAATGAATTTAAAAACACATTAATCGGTTCGTTGTTTTTGTTTCATAATTAAGTATTGAATTATTACATTTTGTTGTCGTTTTTCTCATAATACAACCTGGTCATGCTAAATCATTGTATGTTACGCGTAAGGGGGCAAGCACGTTACCGACTGAACTACCAGGACAGGGACGAAAAACGACAAACTATGTTCATTAAAGAACGATTGAAATTTATCAGCTTTCAAAAAAGCTGATAAATATATATTAGACAGCAAAAATGGTTAAAATCATTGGAAATTTCAAGTATCAAAACATTCATATACTTTTTGTTAAAATAAAAATGTATGCAAAAGATTAAAAAATAATCTATCTAGTAAAATAATATGAATTTAAATGATATTCAGTTTACTAAAGTGACGACTTTGAAATTTCAACTATAGTTTGTTAAAAGTATAACACTATTATAATAAATCAAGGCCTACAGCAAACTGATTTTGTTTCATTCCCCGTTAGTTTATCATTTGTTGTGAACTTGAAGTATATTACGAAAAAGAAAAATTTGGTTTACTGTTTCAAAATGAATCCTTGATTCTATTCGGTGTTTGTGACAGCCATGTCTGTCTGAATGGAGGCTGGTGTGAAGCAGACCAAACCAGCGCCCGGGGTTACAAGTGTAACTGTTTTCAGGGTTATGTTGGAGACAATTGTGAAGGTATTATGTACAAGAAGACCTTTATTTACTTCTTAAATATTTGCCATTTTTTATGTCATTTTAAAATAAACATTTTTACCATCTCTATAAGATTCAATTTCATTGAACGATGTAGGTTTAAATGAATATGTAAATATTGTTATAAGTAAAAAAAAATGTGCAGAAGGGTTTACATTTGTGAATGTAAGTACATTTTTGTACTTTCTTTGCTTGATTGTCAGTAGAGCGTTCATTGTCTCCATATGCTTAACCTAAGGCAATCAAATATGTAGTAACTATACCTTTGCCATGCACACATCTCTTTGAAGTGAAAAATGTGAGGCCTTTGGATAAGACCTTGAAAAACAAAAGCTGTGTAGGCGTTAGTATAATAAAGATCTCTCATTTTCCAACAGCCTTGAGTTCCTAGTAAAAGTCAAAAATTGAAGCCCATTGAAATATGTTACTATCTCTATATGAGTGAAAAATTCCATAGATTGACACAAAATACAACTAAAAATCAATCTATTACCTGGTTTATGGATTAACTTTATACAGTTTTTGCCACACCAGATAGTTTTGGTTTTTTTAGACCTTAATTAGCACCAAGGGCAATTGAGCAGTGAAAATTCTTTATTTTGCCAATAACTACCGTGAAAAATTATTTCAGTATCAAGGACCCACCCGTACTACCCCTAATTATAAATTCTTAAGTCGGGCGCTTGGCTTAGTAACTGTTAATCAACGCAGATTTAAAGAAGAAATAAACCTGAGCCACCTGAGAACTCTCTTCGTTTTAAATATTATAACTAAGCTTTTAAGTTATAAGAACGTTGTTTTTGTACCGAATTTCGATATTTTTTCTGAATAGCTGATATATGTGACGGCCATGATTGTAAGAATGGAGGAAACTGTGTGGCCGACCAGTCTTTAATACGAGGATACACGTGCAGCTGTGTTACTGGATATGTTGGAGACAATTGTGAAGGTAAACTGAATACAACTTAATATAGAACAGCACTTAAATGATTTAATGGCTTAGTTCATTTGATTAAATATGCAATGTTACCCCATCCAATATTTAAAAATCCAATTCCTCATCGATTTTTATAAATAGATTAAAATAGATATAAATTAAAAGTTCAAGAAAATGAACATCAGAAATGGTCCGATGAAATATGTTATTATAACGAACAGCATTTGTGTTAAAAAGTCTATTTAACAATACAAAATAGGAGGTGGGATCATATGCCATGAAGGAGTAAGCAGTTCCAAATTAGAAAGACAAATCACATTCTATAAAAATTGCTAACTTAAAAAAAAAAACAAACAAACAAACAAAAACAACGATGGCTGTATTTCTTTTAATTTGATTTTTCAGTTCTTGCAATAGACTGTAAGGTGCACCGTGACATTGGTAACACTGAGTCAGGTGTGTACAGTATTTTTCCCTTTGGACCTAGCTCTGAGTCTGTAAGAACCTACTGTGATATGGAGACATTAGACGGAGGCTGGACAGTATGTAGTTTATATTAAAATCTTTATAATTAGCGCATCGGCATGTATATAAAAGGCATCTTACATATGTGTTCATGTCTCCCTTATAAAAGGTCCAAATGTAGCCACTATTTTTGTTTAAAGCTAATATTTATTTAGAACAAAAATGTTGTTTTAATTTGCTGTATTCCAAAAAGAGGTTGTCACAAAAACACGGGTGAAATATGAAAGTCATAGTCCCACCCATTCAAAAGTTATGGACAAGGTTTTACCTTTTTTGAGATGTTTGAAACTCAATTCATAGAAAACCAAATAATATTGTTATAAGATCTAATTTTCTAAGCTAGCACCCATTTCTGCGCCAGTTTTAAAAAAAGGAATCAAAAAGTTAAACTTTTGAAAAATTAAAACTTGATTTTTGCAAATTATTAATCCAGGGTAAAATCAAAGAAATTCATAATTATGAAAACTTTTTAAAGTTTCCTCTTTTGACACCAGCTAAGAATGACCTTTTTAAAGATTAAAATTACAGCTGTGGAAACTTACTTAATAAAATGTAATAAACGATTCTATAAATACGAGTATCTTCGTTCAAACAGCCTTAGAACATTTTAATAGGCATTATTTTCCTTGAATGGGGATAAAACTGTTTGTATTATTAATGTAAAACGCACGAGGGTCATTCAAAAAAATAATGCAACATGTCATCTTAGAGTAAGAAAAGAACGGAATACATATTCTTAATAGTTTCAATCGCTCAAGGCATCTCATGTTACCCTTTACTTGTGTCTTGGGTCTTTGTATCCATGAACAGAAGTCCTCGGTCTATGCATTTTTAGGGATGGTTAAAGACACTGATGACATATCTGACATTGTACAATATTTCTTGGTTTGTTTTGATGTGTTTTGTGAATGAAAAGATCTCACAGTGGCTGCGATCAACCTAATATGGGTAAATGAAAAGTCCTGTATGTTTTCTTTTCTTCAGAATCTTATTAAATTCTCTTAGCATATATGCAGCTTCGTTGTCGGGCACAAGAAAAATACCCTGATCATCGAATGTCAGACGTCCTTTGCAAAAAATTCGATGAACCTTCCTTTGTGCAATTTGAACATAAAACGAACCATTGCTAGTCCTTCATTTGGATGTGTGTACATGTTTAATGGACCTCTTTAAATACACGAAGACAAATAACACATGTTTGGATCCATTGTTTCTTGTTATCATTATAACAATACACCTTTTTCTTGGTTCCACATTTTTTATCATTTATTTTATTTTACGGCTAAGAATTTGTACCCATATTTCGTCAAACATTAAGCAAGTTTAGCAAATCTTTTATTTTGTTTAAACATTAGTTTTTAAATAGACCGTTAAAGGCAAATTTACGGCACCTATCAGATGAAAATATTGTTATATGTTTTTTTTTTCCTTTGTCAAAATTCTAAAACTGCTGTGACGATTAAATGTATAGTATCTTAATATTGTCTCTACATGTAAATAATGCACTCTCTCTCTCTAATAGAACTTTTCATATATATAAAAGAAATACCTTAACATTTATTATTACATACTGTGAATTAAATTACTTATTGAACGTAACTCGTAGTATAGCTTTTATTTCTTTATTTAAGCTTAAAAACTTTCAGAAAATTTAATCTTCATATCATAAAGCTGCTTGATATTACCCGTATACATTCGCATAACAAGAATATTCCTACCAAAACAAATGTTTTGCATACAAAATGACAAGTTGTTGTTAATCTACGGGGTCGTTTTTCTAAAATGCACACGGAGAGAAAAAGACAACAAGACCATAATTTTACAAAAGTGGGTAATTTTTCTACGTAGAATATTGACCGGGGAGTCAAATTTCTACGCAGAAAAATGGCCTTCGGTCTATATTCTACGGGGGTCACTTTTTGTACTTACACCGGTCTCCACGTCTCACAGTGGGATTCGAACCGGCTATAATGATTGACTCCTTATTTTGCACATCTACAACAGATGCCCTAACCACTACGCCTCGCGGCCAAAGGGGGTAAAAACAAAACACAGTTTAACATCACAATAATGATCTCTGATTGTTTATCTTTCAAAGGCTATCCAAATTCGAATAAACGAATCTGTGAGCTTTGAGCGGAACTGGGCAGATTATAGGGTTGGCTTCGGTGGACCGGAACACAGTTTTTGATTGGTAAATATAAAATTAGCTAAAATATACGAAATAAATGTAATTTTTAGAGTTCCACCCAATCTAGACCAAAATCTGTGTTAATAGAGCTAAAGACTATATTCTCCTTTTTGGGTATTTTTCATTATGTTGTATATACGTGTATTTCCGTAAATGACTTGCGAATTTGCCTGTAATCAATAATGAAAGTCACTTTGAAACAAAATCAAGGAATTTTGTGGAAAAATATTTTAAATAACTATTTATATATGATGATTCAATATCACAAGGAAAATGGGGGTCAGTTTGCATTTTATACTTACTAATCAACGGATCAAATAATTTTTCCTTTTAGAACTAAAGTTGTTATAATTAGGTCAACTAGTTTAATTGTTACCTTCTTTTATTGGATATAAAATAATTGTTATTATAAAATTTATTGAAAAAAAATCATGCAACCAACTATGCATTGGTCAAACTGGCGGAGTTATTAAAAACAAAGGCCTTGTGTTTAAATAGTATAAAACATATCAAATAATAAGTAGTTTTTCATACCATATCTATTTTAACAAACACAATTTATGATTTAGATACATAAAAATTACATCATTAATTACAACTTCAAACAGGAAACGATGTGATCCACCAATTAACAAAGGGAAATGACTCGTCATTGTATGTTACCATCACACTAAGGGACGGCAGAACGCTGTATGAATTGTATGTTCGTTTCCTTGTTTCCAGTGGAGCAGAGAAGTATCAACTCTATTTAGGAGGATCTACCTCAGGAACCTTGGGTGCGTGCAATTCTTTCACCTTTTTTTAAAGTAAATACTGGGTTGATAATATAAACTGATACATTGTTCATAAACAACGTCATGATTTGACTGGAATATTTTAAATAAGATTCATTGGCAGGTCATACCTCAGAAGAAAAGATCTATGTTGATTGAAATAAATCGACATTTCTAAAGATTACCATACAAATGTGGTATAGCAGTTTCATTGGATTGATATTCATTTGAATAAATATTTATATTGGTATATAATGAACGTATAAAATGATCTTTCAATCGTTGATTTTAAATTCAATGTCACGAACATGCTTCATTCTCTACATAATAAAATATAATGTTTGTAAAGTATGGGAAATCAGTTTTGGTGTCACATTAGATCATTCCGCCTACGCAACAGTTTATTCTATGACCAGATTTGACTTTTCATGTTATGCAAAAACAGCGAAAAGAACTAAAAACGATTAAGATGCCTCATGACAATATATTTATATCATAGTTGATAATGTTGAAAAACAAATATCTGTGTACAATACACTACGGTTTTTACAGTTAATAAATATAATAAGGAATGGAGTTATATAAAAAAAAATAGTAATTGTGTAATATTGTCCAATTCTTTTATAGGTGACGGTATGCTACATAAAGAAGATAAAATACTTGAACTTTCCGTGATGTACTTTAGTACATTTGATAATGACAACGACAGGAGTGGATCTAACTGTGCCGAGTTTAATAGGGGCGGGTGGTGGTTTAATTCCTGTTTCAATGCATTCCTTAACGGCCCCTGGTCTGTGAAGGAATGGGTATATCCCTGGTTCCCGTCGGTTCTTTCTGGAGAGGAAGTGGCGGCGACCAGAATGATGGTTAAGAGAATTTAGGAACAGTTTAAATTAAGTTCGAAAATGTTTCGGTCTATTAGTCTCTCAAACGACTCTTTTATAATGGATATTTTTTTTTATTACATTTATTACTAAATTATGTAAATAATGTACAATTAAAAAATTAAAATCTTTTCAAGTCAATCAACGTTATGGGAGTGTTCTTCTCATATTAAAATTAAAATGATCGTATGAAATTGTATTATTGTCATTGTGTTCGGATATAATAATGTATAGTGGCCAGGCGGGCTTGTTTTCCCGGAATCGGATGGCTCAGTTGGTACAACATCTGCCTTAAGCTCTTTGTGTAATTGTTAATATTTAATAGTCTTTACATTTTCATTTAATACCATGGTGTGGCCTTGACGTGATAAGAGACCGTCCGAATATTCGATGTGGATCATTGAAGATCATGATAGATATATTGTTCACTGTAACAAATCAATCAACTTTTACAATGACTTTTTTTGAGGAGAATGTCTGATTTGTAATGGATATAGCATTTTTTTGGAAAATGTTTTGGTAAACAGTGGACTTAATGCTGCAATGTAAACAATTTTTGTCTCCCTTATATCTGACTGAAAACCATCCTTTGTCACTTATCTTAGTTTTAAAATTCTTGAGCAGGTTGATTTCTCTTCTAATAACAAACTATTACCACTTGCAGGATGGTGAACGACCATAATAACGATCATATCTTATAACTAATCCTTAAAATATGAACATATGGTGAACGTTTTGATGTCAATTTTCAAAGAGTCCCTGATAGTGACATGATAGATTGTTTCAAACTAGCAATATCATTGTGACATAACGATACCATCAAACATACATGTTTTAGATATTTGAGTTTTCAAAATGTAGAAATCGGTAAAGCTGGAAAGAAAACATACATACGTTTAGATGAATTACATGTACATTTTCTGTAAACATTGCTCAACATGAAAATGACTGCAGAAGTGTAAAGTACATGCACATTAAAATATTTAATGTTTTAATAGAGTTTTATTTTATTATTTTCAGTGCATTATTCTTTTCTTTAATATATTTCAATATTTCAATCAATACTTTTTTTTCTACCAAGCACAGATTTTAAGCATTATTTTGTAATCTGTGTAATTAATGAAAAAGGTGAAGATAACGCATATTGATTGTACAAATAAGTATACTGAAGCATACTTAAAAAATGTTTGAGTTTCTGATTGTCATTATGTATGGGGGTTTTACCTGGGTACTACTTGCGCTCCGTTATTAGGAGACCTGTTTTAAGTTCGTGTAATGTATAATTTGTCTGAAATGGTATGCATGAAAAAACGAAAACACTTGCTGTTACATTCAGCTCGACGATAAGATATATCGACGAGTTATA